AAAAATAAAATCGGAATGGCAATTTTGAAACACTGTAATAAGGATGCACAGTTTCGCACTTTGGCCATTGCTATTAAAAAACACTTCGGAGGAACACAGGGATTCGAAAGCGGTATGGACAGTGGAGAAGCGTGAATGATTGATTATCGATATTTCCCCTTTTGAAGCTGTTATATAGAATCGATTATTAAAGTGTTTGTTGCGACCATCCTGTTTATCCATCTATTTCCATAGATATAAATGGCAGATCAATCGATATATCGCAAAACACGCCACATATGAGGTATAGAGATTGCAGCTTATAACCCTCGGCACTTCAATTAAAATTACAAAAATGAATTCTTCTGAGCTCTGGTGGAAATCGAACGAGCGGAACTTGCACTTATATTGGTACTATAATATAACTATTTACGATCCTGTAAAGTACTTTTAAGTAAAGACAAAGATAAAAGAAATGATAGATGACAAAAAAAAAGTATCTTATTCTACGTTTCAATATGAGGAGAGTATTTTGAATTTTGATTTACCCAATTACCCCTCGCTTACCTCTCACGGAAAAAATGAAATTGCTGATTTAACAATTTTGTAGTCAAAATAGTTCACTACATATAATATGTAGATATGTAGATAAAGAAACCACTATCATGGTTGAATTAGCTTTCCACTATTGTAAAATGGGCATTTGGACGTAATTCAATCAAACAGAACTATGTGCAGATGATAAATACGGGGTGTGCTCATGAGTTAAAGCGCCCCAACGACGATCTCCCCCTCGCGCCCCGGCTCGATCTTTGAGCTGACGTCACTGGCGCTTTATTATTCTCATTTATTCTAACGACCAGAGAACTAACGAGCACACCATTTCTCACCTGCACATAAATCTGTTTGATAGAAATGCGTCCAATTAGCTTTCCACTATTGTAAAATGGACATTTGAGACATGTCGGACATAATTTTCAACAACAAGTGTAATTAGGGACATAATTATTAGTTTGTTTGCTTTAAATTACTCCAATGATATCGAGCCTCGCTTCCTCGAATGCTCAGCAACATCACAACTGATAGTGAAAACAAGTGTATGTTTCTCATTTCTGACAGGGAGCCCGAACTTCCGTGTCCCGATGGCACAGCGGCGAATCTCCGATCGATTCTGAGGGTTGACTGATGACTGATGTGATTTGGCGGTAATCGGATGACTAATTTATGAGTGACAATTCAATGAAGTGACGCAAAGTATTTTTTTCTGCTTAAAAACTTAAACGGAGATGTCAAAAACTAGATTCGGAATCGGAAGGAGAGCACGCAATGCTAAGGTTTTTTGACGTGATGCATTGCGTGAACAGAGTTCGTCCGTCGAGTCAGAGAAGAATGTAGTATGAGCCTTTGGACGTTGCAAAATTTCTTTCGGTCCGACATGAATTCCCGTGTAAACTTGTGAATATTCAACTAGAATTGGGCCGCGTCAAACAGAAAGGAACCAAGCCACATCAGCTATTGCCAAATTTAATTGGCTAATTCAATTTTTTACACGAAAACCGTTGTGCGGATTTTCGTGCAAATTTCAGTGAATTTTCTCCATAGTACGAAGCAGATTCCTCAACATTTTCAAAGGGATCCGCTCAAACGTTTTCTTGTAAAAAATTGAATTGCCCGGTTAAAATTGGCAATAGCTGATGTGGCTTGGTTCCTTTCTGTCAAACGCGGTCCAATTTTTCTACGCGCAATTTCATCCGAAAACCTCCAGTGAAAATGTTCATTGCTGTCCTCAAAGCTTGATTTTCCATCGGGGGACAATATTCTAGGGCTCAAACGGTGTTTTTACAAAGCGCGGCAGTGATGACGTCCTTTGTGTCATACACCGCTCCGATGTACGAACTCAAATTAGCATAGTCATGTTGTTTTCGGAAAGTCTTTACCAAACTGACATTTAATCTGGGTACAACTTTTTGACGTGGGTGGATTTCATTTTGACGATTTTATGTTTTTCTTGGTTCATCTCTTGACCTGCAAAAAAACTTTCGTACCTTTTTTTGAAGGTTGTTAATTGGTTTTTCCTACGTATGTACCTTTTTTCTTACATCAGCTCATAGTACATATTAGAGGTCTTTTCCGAAATTCACGCCCGATCTACCATTGACTTTACGCTGCTTGCGTTNGGGGGGGGGGGGGGGGGGGAGTTTGCGTCTCGTGCGATACGCCATGACGTCAGAGGCGGCTTCAGCAATTTGGCAACACCGGATTCCCTCCATTTAAACACGGTTCTTGTCGGAGCACCTGGCTCCTCCAAGAATCGATACATTTTCGTAGGTTTAAATGGAGAAAAACAATGTTGCCAGTTTGCTGGATCCGCAAATGCATGACGCTTGGACTCCGTGACGTCACTGTCACTGGACACAGGAAATCTATGCACTATTTGAAATTGGCCAGGACAAATAGACGTTTTTAAATGACATATTCGTGGATCTTAGGGACGGATTCCACCAAAACCGGTAGATTTGTATTCGCCGTTACCAAATTAGTTGTTTCAAAGACAACTGAGCTTCCAGGACTTTATGTCCACTTACCTCTCGTCCATTAAATAAATGTCCACCGCTATTTATGTCCACTAAACGTTAAGTCCAGTCTTTATTAAGTCCACATGATTTGATGTTCAACCATGAAATGTCCAAATTGTGGCCATATTATGTCCACATTTTTTTCTTCTCGTTTAAATGACAGGAACCACCTCGAAAATAAATGCATACTACCACTACCTTCATTCTTAAAAACATTTCATTCATGAATCAAGTCATGAAAGAGAACAGACTCTAAGAGCAGATAAAAACATATGCTCATGTGTACACTGTGCGGATATGATAAGATGAAAACCAAAGCGGGAGCCTAGGAAACGCTCCAATGCCAAATTAAACATTTTTCAGTGACAGATGCAGTCAAAATTGAAAGTCCTACTCTTATTACTAGTTATTTTGTGCGCCTTCAATCTTGTAGGATACTGTACAACGCCTCTGACGCGAAATAGTTGCTTAAACCGATGCGGCGCGGCAGGCAACCAGCGTGACTCGCGCATAGGCGCCTACAAAATTAACGGGATACTTCACAAGTTGCGCAATGCGTGAAGTATCCCGTTAGGTTTGTAGGCGCCAGTGCGCGTTCTGCGCTGCTAACACGCCGCTCCGCTCTGTGTTAGGCTCTAATATTTAAACTCGCGGAGTCAGCGTTTTCCAACTCATAATTTTGAAATGTTTGAAAACTCTGTATGAATTATTCTTATTTAAATTGATGAAAAAGAAATATGTACTACTGGAAAATATAATGTGTTTTTTGTAAATATAATAGTGGTTCCGTATCAAATTTAATGATTTCCAAAGCATTCAAATGTACTCTTTAATGTTTTGGGCTTTTACTGCGCTGCAACGTGGTGTAAGCGCATCCAAACGCTCATAATTGGACGTATTTGACTCAAGGAGGTCGATGTACAAATAAGTTACGAACAAAAAATTGCGTGCTTCTTAGTTTTTTCCCTCTTTTATTAATTTTTGTATAAAATTTAAATTATGAGTTACGATGACAACACCTCATTCTCTCTTAATTTTCTCATTTCGATATTGTCAATATATAATTTTACACACGGACTAAAATATGACGCTTGAATTTGATTTTAGTGGACTTTACATTTGTGGACGTAAGTTAGTGGACGCTTAAGTAATGGACTTAACAACAGTGTGGGCCTTAGAACTGAAAGTCTGTGGACGTAAAAGAAGTGGACATGAAGTCCGTGTACCACGATTAAATGGACGTGTAAGGTTGAATGAAATTTAGGGAACCATGCGGCCCACTAACTCCACTTACATTGTTCTTTTTGATTTGATTCAATTTCACATGGCTTCTTTTGGCATACTAAGCCGTACTAACATACTAAGTACTAAGTGACGTACTAAGCATACTAACTAAATGGACGTTATTATTCCATGTCAAACTATGTGCGTGTTGTAAAAATGGGAAAGTTAGTTGATGGTTTAGTATGTTTGACGAAAATAATTTGACTATTTCTGTGAGTGACACCACGAACTTTAGCCACGAACACGGCGATCAAATGAATGGATTTTTAGGGAAAATGTAAAAATACTTGGAAATGGAAAAATACTTGGTAATAGATATTTTTTGCAATTATGTAGGATATCACTTTCATTGAGTTACTTGTTGAAGATACCAATAAAAATCATCCCAATGGTAGCATGATTCGTTCAGACTTTGCTCAAAGCGTCGCCTGTGCGGTTCAATTGTTTCGCGAGGTAAAATTTAATTCAATCAAGGTCTCGCTATTTAAGGAAATTTGATGTAATAAATCAGCACTCATTACTCTCCTCAACACATCAACTTGAGTTCATCGGGGAAGTGAATAATTAGAAATATTTGATGGTGATTTGCATCTTAGTTCTTCCTCGAGATATGCAAGCAATAAAAGAGATTTTAAATGTCTTGCTATTAATTAAAGATAAGTTTTATTCTGTGCTAATTTAGGAACTTATATGACCAGTACACGTGCAAAAACATAAAGCAGCTCATTTTACATAATGGAGAGGCTAATAAAAATAAATTAAAAAGCAAAAAAAAAAAATTGATAACAAATGCAAAAAATGGTTTGACTGACGTGAGCCCCTGACGATTGCGTAAAAGTAAAGCGTGTGGAATTGTTTGACTTAAGAGGTTCCAGGTAAATTGTTTCACGTCGCTTAGTACTTTCTCCTTTTCCACGAATGAAATGGTGGAATAGGTCATTAGAAACGGCTTGGATGATCGCACACATGAACAATTTTACTGAACAGTTGTTGTATATACGCATTATCCCCAAAGAACTTAAGACTTCAAAGTTGCAATGAAGTTTTCGATCCTCATTGATTATGATAACTTGGAAAAAGACCTCAACTTTTGTACCAGCTTGTACTTATGTTACACAAAATATCCGTGCAGCTTTTGACCTAATCGTACTTTTTTTCCAGGCAAGAAGTAGAGGCGTTATGTAGGCTATTCAAGAAGCTAATAAGCTCCTCTAATTTGAACATGCTCAACGGTGGTTCAGCAAGAGGTGGAAAAAGTATCATCGCAGGGTCCACGGGGTTGGCCGCTTCTAATGTTGGCGAGGTAAAAATTACCTTTTCAATTTTTTGCGTATGTATAACAGTACATGAACAATGGAGCTCTTTCACGCGTAAGGAACTCGCGATTTAAAGGCAGATTCCTTGTAAAATTTCGGAAGAAACACGATTGTGCCCCTGGTTTTCCTGACATCAACTCCAAAGCTCAAAGAAGCTCTCAAAGTTGAGGCTGTAACGGAGAGGATATCCCAATGCCACGCTACTCCGAGAGTTCATCTCTATATCAATACAAACTCTCTATGCATAGATAGGGAGCAAATACATTGACAGGGCTGTCACTCTATTTGGGACTCCAAGACTGAAAACACGGCAACCCTGCTAATATGCGCCCTATAAGAATGGAGAGTTTGACTTGATATAGAGGTGGACTTTCAGTGTAGCGTGGAATACATCCTCTATTACGGTCTCAATTTTGAGAGCTTTTTTTAAGTTTTGGAGTAGATTTTAGAAAAAACCAGTGGCACAATCGTGTTTCTCGCGAAATTTTACACAGGATTCTGCAATTAAATCGCAAATTCCTGACTCATGTAAGAGCTCCATTAAATGTTGTGGATGGGACGACTTTCAAACTGATAATATCTGCATGTACGAAATATTACAGATGTACAGCCCAAAACGATTGATAAAGACGATTTCGAGGATCACCAGCTTAAATTGCAAATGGTGATGGTAAAGTTAAAAAGAAAATATCTATTTTATCGGAAGAAATTTGCAACTTTCCAATTTTTGTACGGCAACAATAACATCATGACGTCATTTGCTTACCTCCGAGGACCGTGCTGCCATGCTAAGCGAAAACGCCGAATGAGAATCTGGGGGTGCCAAATTTCCTCCAACAATATATTTATTATTGACAAAAATAATGGATATTTTTTCATGACATGTTTTCATGACATCAATAAGCACACTGGACTAAACCGTGAACAACATTTCGTGACAAATTTAAAAAAAGCAGGCACAAAATCTTGAAGAAATTCTTTTTGGCAGAAATTTTGCAAGTTCCGTTGTTTCGTGAGCAGCTTTTTCTTCGCAAGGCAGCGAAATTTTTTCTCCATCCCTTGAAATTGTCAGTTTGCACGTAGATTATATTGTTCCTCAGCCATCGATTAGTGTTAGGGGTTCATGACGGTGGAAGGGGAAGTAAAAAAATCCTATTTTCAGCGTTACGTATTTGGACCACGTTTAGCAGAAAGGAACCAAGCCCTCGGCAATCGCCGAATTTAACCGGGCAATTTAATTCTTTACGAGCGAACGTTTCGGCGGATTCCTTTGAAAATTTTAAGGAATTAGATTTGTGCTTTGCAGCCAATTCACTGAAATTTGCACAAAAATCCGCACAACCGTTTTCAGGTAAAAATTGAATTGCTCAATTAAATTTGGGAATAGCTGATGTGGCTTGGTTCCTTTCTGCTTAAAAGCCCCTGTGAGCCCTTGCCGGAGGTAGTTGTTGAATCATCGTCTCCTTATCCTCAGGGTCTGGACCGTGCGGTATTTCGAGAGCTCCTTCACAACACTTTTGATCTGGTGACTGAAGAGGTACTCATGGACCGAATCTTTTGTGCCTTCGACCGATGCAACGACGGAGTGATCCACCTGGACGAGTGGCTTCTCGGCCTCTCTGTCTTCCTCTTGGGCACCATCGAGGAGAGGATCTCATACGCATTCCTCGTCTACGACTTGAACTCCGATGGCATCATCACCCGAGAAGAAGTCTTCCACTTACTCAGGTCAGAATCTCCAAAAAGCTCCTCCGCACTTGAGAGCGATTTTCCATATCGACGGCGTAAGTCCGCAATCACATATCTCGTTTCCGGTGTCTGAAAATCTCCGCCTCTGTGTTATTTTTTTTAAAGGAGAACAAATTGACATCATTCCTTGAACTTTATGCAGAATTTTTTTCGCACGGAGAAGAGAAATCACGGCCGGTTTAAAGAATTTCCGTTGAGTGGTTTTCCGTTTAAGAAATCAAGTTTGAAAGGAAGTCTGTGACGTTGCTAACCGAGTTATGTGATTGTAGGAAAAAAAACAGCAGCCCGTGACGATGGTGATAGCAAAAACATAGGAGAAAAAACTGGAAACAAGGCTAGAAATAACACATAAAAATCCGAGACGCTTCGGCCCAAAACTGAGCCATTTTCAGGCAGAAGAATTAAAAAAAAAAATATAAAAATAAAAAAAATGGCTGAAAATGGCTCAGTTTATAGCCAAAACATCTCGGATTTTTATGTGTAATTTTTAGCCTTGTTTCCTATTTATTCTCCTATGTTCTTGTTATGTGATTGCCGACTTACGCCATCGATATTTTCTTGCTGTCGTTCTTAAAGATAATAATAAACGCATTTAGGTCAAAAGGAGCTATGTCCATTCTGACACGAGCCCTCAGATCTAGAACACCTAAACACATGAATGCCAGGGCTCATGTCAAAAGGGATGAAGTTCCTTTTGATTTGAATGCGTCCATATTTTATAAAATCCGCGGTATCGTGTGGATTCTCCCCTGCATTCACCTACCTCTCAAAATTAATGTCCCCGAACCGAACATGATACAATTCGACCCTGTAAAAAATGCATCCCTTTTTTTCCGCGGATACCTACGGTTGAAACTTTCCCGGCGAGGGCTTTCTTTTAGTTGTAGGCTGGAAAAGCTTGTCAAACGCCCTTTCCTTTTTTCTGGTGCGGTTTCACGATCGCTCGTGTCGTCTGTATCGCACACTGTATCGAGTCAATGGGAAAGGTCGGACATGTTTTAAAAACTTTAAAAGCGTTTATCTTCATGAATATGCAATGCTGATGTTTAAAAGGTAGTTTCTTTAGTTTTTACGTAAAATTTTCTGTAAAAAGCATCTCTTCAAATTGAAATTGTGAAGAGATAAACATACAACCTTACAATTTTTGCCGGAAATTTTATGCCCGACTTCTTCCGAAGAATCGCTCCACTGTGCGCCGCTTGAAAAATGGCGAGTCCTGCCGTGCTAAGGAAGAACGCCATATGAACCTTCAGCTGTTGCCACATTTCCTTCGATAAAACCTTGATTTACTGGGAAAATCGTGAATTTTTTTCTTCAATTTTTTCAGACAATTTTGTTCGCAATTTAGTCTAACGTGTCTAAAAATTTCAAGGAAAAATACGCATAATCGCTCTCAAAAATCCAAGTTTTATACGGGGCAATTTGGCAACTCTAGAAGGTTCATACGGCGTTCTTCCTTAGACAGTGAACCGCGACCCCGCGTACCAGGTCCGTGACTCGGGAAGATGCGGACTGATTTATGAGCTGGAAATCCACCGGCAAGGGTCCGGGCACGGCGGAGCAGCTTTTCGAAGCGAAACTTTTTTAAGTGGAAACCAAACGTCGCGCTGCGGAGCTTAAAATCGAAGGATTTACTGCATGCAGCATGGCTCGCCGGTTAATTCGGCTTCGTTTATTCCCCCTCGGACCCAACAGTTTAATTTAATAAGTTTCCGTGGAACTGTGTTCAATTTGAACACGCTATGCTCCCTAAGACGTCCGTTGATGTTATCGCCATCCGAAGAATAAAAGAAGGTGTGAGTTTTAAGAATGCACTGAAAAAAATCTCGGTGTATTTACTAAGAAAAGGGTAAAATTACCACGAATTCAGGGTTCTATTTGATCCCAGTTTTTTCTTGGTAAAATTACCACTTATAGAATTGGTGATTTTACCGAGAAATCTCGGTAAAATTATTGAGCTTTCTCGGTAATTTTACAGGACCCTGGTTAAAAACGCCAATATTTTTTATCGACTGTGGTACAATTACCGAGATAAAATGGCAAAGTTACCGGGAATTGATTACCAATAAAAGTGCGGTATTCTCACCTGAAAAAAAACAGTAAAAATACCGGTTTTTAGGTAAGCTTACCAGTCTGTCTTGGTAAAATTACCAATAATTGGTAAAAAAAAAGTGAGATGGTAAAGGTACCAACGGACCGTGGTAAAAACGCAGAGAATTTTTTTCAGTGTGAGATTCTTCGGTAAAAATAAATTCTTACATTTTTAAGGAAAAAAAAAAACGGTAGTGCGCATTGTTCACAGGCATTTCCCACAAACTTTAAGATGATTGACCCTCGGAAAACAAGTTCAAAGTTAGGCATTTTCACCTCCCATACCTATATGAATGCGCATCGCTATTCTGTGCGGTCCTGCGGTCTGATTGTTAAAAATGGTAGACAAAGCTATAGACAGCGGAGAAATTAAGGAATTTGAGTGTTTCCATTGGCAGCAGCAGGTAATTGGTGTGGAAATGGAAGGTAATTAATAGACTAACTAATGGCACCCACGAACGATCTAACTGTTAGTTCATCATTACCCTCCTTAATCGATTACGACCGCCCATTTAACGATTAGGATAGCTCTATTTCCCCTTTGCTTTCTTTGTCTATCACTTTGTTTTTACAATAGTCAGCCCGCACAGGTTTGCTACGGCAGGGGAGTTACGTGGCGCAGGACACAGATAGCAGAGTAATAAGAGTACTTAACGTGCTGAAACTAAATGAACGTGGACAAACTATTACATGCAACTATTAATACTCTCGAGCCACTCACTTTGCCTACTCTCAGTTTTTGAAGGCGAACTGGTCTGAGCACGGAATGCTCTGCGATTGAAAGTGTACCTGAATCAGAATGGGTATTTTTAGGCGCGTCCTCACAGATGCGCGTTTAAATGGGACTCGGAGTACGCAACTGTGATTTTTTTTTGGGAGGGGGGGGGGCTGATGTTATTTCCAAAAATCTGAGGGTAATCTTTTAAACCATATGCACTCTCTATTATTTAGAAGTACAAAAATTTAAAAGTACTGAACGAACTCAACTTTTCAATTGAGTTTTCGTACCATCAAACATGTTTCACTTTTGAAAACAAAATTCGTTCAAAATGACAGTTCTTCGGAGAGAGTCTTACAAAAATCGGGAAGAGTCAGTTTTTTCTGATCGTGACTCAATGTTTTGATTTGTTGTTTTACTTGATAAATATATAAGCTATAAGATAAACTATTTTGTTAAATAATTATGAATAAATAAACTTTGAGCCATAGCAACAGAATCCTCAGGGATGAAGAAGGGTAAGGTGCCATTTCCCTATCCCATTTTTAATAAAATAAAATAAAAAAATGGCAAAGAAGAAAAAGAGACGGACAGACGGCTGGAGGTGCAGGAAAGAAAACATCTGTAAATCTTCCAAGTACAGACGCGTACTAATAGAATCATAAAATTAACATCCTTTATTTTTAGACGCTGCCTTTTTTGTTAAGATTTAAAACTGCAGAAATGAGAGACCTCCCAACAGAAGGAGATATTACATTCATGAATGTTTACGTGTGTTGATAGGTCCTTTGGCCTTTCAGTGCGATGACAGCGTCTTAATCCTCCCAATCATTTCAATTTTCCTCTGAAATTGTGGCAAGAGTTGATAGTTTTTTTTTCCTTTCTTAATTGAGTCATTTAAGAGTAATAAATACCCTTATTTTCCCTCCCTTTCCTATGTAGCTTTCAATTCATTTCTTCTGCGCATAAACGGAACAGTTTAGAATATAGTGAAATAAAAAACGAGAGAACCTAGCAATATTTGATTAATTAAGGATGTTGTTTCCTCCGTAGATGATCTATCAATTATTCAATTAAAGTAAAAAGAAAGCATTCATTCTGGGGCGTGGTGCTAAGATTTTATTTGACTACTTTTCACCCATCATCTGTTTTTATCTAGTGAAAATTCCGTCTTATTATTTACGAATGTTTTTTTTATTTTATATATTTCTTACGAATTTTCCCTCTAGCGAGGTCAGTGATAATATCAAATTGCGCTTTTAACAGCTTTTTATGTTTTTTTTTTCGATTCTGAGGTTTGAAAAGTAATTTTTTGTCCTCATGAAAAATCTTTGGGCCGTTTAAGTATAGAATAGGTCATTTTGACCCCCCTTCCTCCTATAAGGCACCTATAAAACGTCCTCTCACCTTCTCTTTTGAATCACATAAAGCTGGCCTGCCCCCCAACCCTCCCTCAGTAAGAGGATATAATCTAAACAGACATGAAAAATGCCTGATTTTATTTATTTATTTTTTTTTAAAGGTGTGAGGTTCACGTAAGACTGTGATTGATCTCACCTCCTCAAGACTCGGGAAAGCAATCTCAGACACCCCACCCCCTCTCTCTCCTCAAGTGGCTTACGTAATACTTGAATGGTTTATTTGAAGATCACTTTTGACAATCTCACAAGGTTAAAATTAGAAGAATGGCGTGCATTCTTATGAAAAAGCAAAAATCCTGCAAGATTGCTTTCTTTGATTTCCAGGTGAAATGTATCAATCACAGGATGTGATTGCACTTAATCAATTTCCAAAATAACGGCAATTTTTGGTCATCCGACACATTCATGCTGAAAGGAGCTATGTTGCTCGCAAACCCTCTGCGTATAGTTTCTTTTAGTAAAAATATGTCCTATATTATTCTTACGATAAAAATCCTCTCTTTCCTCAAGATTTCGTCGCGATATTCTCTTCTATTTCTACGGAAATTATTTAAAAAAAGAAGAAAAAGTCGTCATCTTTTGAACACCGGATCTATGACTGAATATATTTGTGACCGGATCTATGAAAAGCAACCTTATTTTCTGGAGGTAAATGTTTCTCAGATTTTTGCCAAACCTAAACCATGTTATTCTACAACTCGAGACTTTTTTTGGAACTCTAAGACAAATATCTCCATCCATTTGAGATTTTTAAGTTGAACTTGCGCTAAAACTTCCAGATTTTCCTCCTCCATGTATCTTCAATTTAACAAAAATTTCCCCCGTAAGGGAAGGGTCATTTTCATAGATCGGTAATATACATGCCAAAAAAAACTTTCATTGAAAAAAAAGATTGGCAGAATTCACCATTCTTTCACGCTGTATTTCACACAGCGTGAAGGAATGGTAAATTCTATCAATTTTCAAGTCGATTCTGCCAGAGAAATGGTTACCTGTACCAGTATATAGTAACGTTTACCTTTCTTCTGGCAGAATGTACTCTGAATTGGTGCTGTATGAAATACAGCGTGAAGGAATGGTACATTCTACCCATCTTTTTTTTTAGTGTACATAGAAATAAGTTTACAGTTAATAATTCCTTTTGATTTATTCAATTTGCACACAATCACATTTAGCATGAATATTTAGAACTTTGCTTTCCATGTACTTTGATCCTCCGGTCGTGTGATAACCCTGATACTTTCAACACTACCATTTCATTTTCCTTGATTTGTTGCAGAAATAGCCTAATCAAGCATCCACAAGACGAGGATCCCGATGAGGGAGTTCGCGATTTGGTGGAGTTGGTCTTGAGGAAAATGGACCAGGACAAAGACGGGAAAATCTCTTTCAATGATTTTAAAATAGCTGTCCTCAACGAACCACTTCTCCTGGAGGCATTCGGACAATGTCTCCCGTCAGAGGCCTCTTGCAATGCTTTTTTGTCTATTTTGCACTACTGAAACCCCAACAGTTAATGCGACCAAAGTTGACAACTGGACATATTTATGCGATAAGGTACTAAGTACAAATGATTAGAATCAAAAGAAACTATGTGCATATGATTGGCATGCTGCATAGTTCGTTTTAATTTCCTTCATTTTCACACTGTTTTTTTTTCACATTAATACATCCAAGTGAGGAAGCTTGAGGTCCTATTGAAGCTCACTTAGACTTGTCGTCAGACAGCTTATTATAATACCAATTTTTTCCTCCAAACAACACTTAAAGAAATTTTTCTATGGCGGTTCTATCTGATAACCTCTAGAAACGGATACCCACGCCTGAATAGTGAATAAAGAATAATTCATGCGTATTTTAAGTAAGAAGTGCCACGGCTCTGAGACGAACATGCCTTGACTCATGGCTTGCAAGAGTCTGACAAGAGTTTGACAAGAGTCTGACAAGAATCTGTCAAGAGCCTGGGTCTGTTACATTTCCATTTATCTTGGCTGTTAAAATTGAAAATGGGAGTGTTCTGTTTAAAATTAGCTTCTTGTATTTTATTCATGTAATGATCAGAGATAAGATACCATTATTGTGTTCACAATTTATAAAAAAAATCCCTTAATTTGTTAAAAAAAAAATAATAAAAAAAGAAAAAAAAAGATGAGTTTTTTCTATTTACCTTGAAGTAACACCCCAAACCAACGAGCCAATGCGAGAGTTTAACCCAAGAAAAATGCAAGTTGAAAAACCTCGTATATCAATCATATGGTATAAAGTAAATTTCGGGAGTCATCGGTCATCGCTAAAAGATTCGCGCATTGATGACTGACAATCAAAGAGTCGAGCGATTGGTTCAGAAATCCTAATCTCATTCGTAAAATTCGCCTAGCGAAGAACTCACTCCGGCATTTATCATTATCACCCTATGACGACTTTTACCTAATTTTTTCTCCAACAAGTTGCTTATCAACCATCATCAGGCGGAATATAGCGCTTAATTACCTCCTTAACTTTTGCCTTAATCGATTAAATTCAATGGAGTCTAGACTCTCAACAAATATGACAAGAAAAATGATCTTGTTTCAATCGAATTTTTGCTCGAATCAAAAGGAAATCCACTTAAATTAAAGAGCTTGGCTCTCGGGTCAAGCAAAAATCCGATTGAATCATGAGTATTTTTTCTTGTCAAATTTTTTAAGAGTCTAGACCTTGGATCCATGATATACCGCAATCACACGCTGAATGTGGCTTGAATATGTGGAAGTCATCGGCTCGATGCCTGAATTTTCCGCGTGTCGCACAAAATTCAGCGACGATTCTCAGCGACCATCGGATAATGTCGGGAATGGAGAATTTGCATGCAAATTTTTTATTGCTTCATCTAAAATTGATTGAAGAGCTGATTTCACAGTATTTTTTATAATTTTTTTTTACATGGGAAATAGTATAAAAATACATTTAAAAGTGAGAAAATGCACCGCCTAGTGACGTCATTTGGCGGCATTTCCCATTTAAACACATGTATTTTAGCAGATTAGATCATTTTGTCGTATATTCTCCAATAATTGTTCAATTTATGAACCAAGAGTATCCTCATGTTCTACTACTGAATGAACTGAGCATTGTCCAGTTCACTCAGTAGTTTCCACTTAAACACAAAATTCATCAAATTTCAGACACCTGCTGCAAATTCTCTATTATTCGAATAGATTTGATACACATCTGGATGAAAATAACTCAAATTTGCGAGATTTCAGCTGTTGAGCGATGGCTGTTGACTTCCATATTCAGCTGCCAAATTCAGCGTGTGATTCCGGCAATACTCTGTTTCAGTGTTGCTTAGATTGTTGCAACATCCCAACAATGTATTGTCTCCAAGAAACCATTCCAACGAGTCAATGTAAGAGTCTCTCCGGCTTATTTTGAAGGTTATTCACAGTTCGTGGATACGCGAGTTAACAGCTAGCGTTAAAACTAAGTACTGCGCAACGCGTCAAGAAAATCAAAATCTAGGATCGGGATGACCTCCGACAAACACATTTTGGTCCTAACGCTGCCGAATTTGTGAGGCGCGTTGTTTTTTTCTTTACGGAAAATGGAACCGCGCACAGTGTATCGAGTCAATTAGAGAGGTCGGACATGAAATTCTTGACTAAAACAGCAAATTTTGATATTTATTTCGTCGTAATTTCAACTTTAAGAGGTGCTTCCGGCAGAAAATTTCACGAGAAAACCAATTAAGCTAATTTTGGGACTTCGAAGTTTTGTATGAACGGAGTTTTAAGCGTTTAAAGTTTCCAAATTTTGTCCGACCTCTCCTATTCGCTCGGTCCACTGTGTGGCGCTGACTGATAATATCGACGAATCTTGCAGTCACGAGTAGTGCATGGGATAATGGGTTACCGACCCGAAACCGACTTATTGCCGTCCGCCGTAAGGACATATTTTGATTTCCGTATGAGCCCCAAAAAGTATGGATTTATGTGTAGAACAGGTTCACATAGAAATTGAGATACGCCCTTTCGCCAGAGGAGTGACGTTATTGTCGTCTGATTATGGATAATAGCCGATGTCCGGTGGTCAGTTTGAGCGTCCTTGCTGTTCATAATTCGATTGATGCAGTTCGCAAATTCTGCAGGAGAATGCATTTTGCATCCTTGGAATATATGACGGATGGTTCTACATTGAATTGCAGTCTTGTGCAAAGCGTCTATTTTACCATCGATATTTTTTGAGAGGCACAAATATTGGTTCGTATCGAAAGCATTGAGAAGAAAAATTGTTTTATATTCGTCATATTGGTGGCAAAAGTGCATAACCGTATATCCTTATAGCGGTGTTTCAAGATTTCTGCTTCGATTTCATATTTTCAAAGAGAAACGAGTCACCATTATAGCTTGAAAGTTATGCAGAATATTCTGCTAACAGATATGAAAAATCAAGGTACTTCTCGATGAATTCCGTCAATTATACTTTTCCAAAGAAAAAATAAAGTATGACATGAAGTCCGCAACGTCGCAAAAGGAGATACTTGGTTTCACACTTTGCCCATCGATATTTAGACGTATTTCTATCAAACGGAACTATGTGCATTAAGACATAAGCCCTGAGACCCATAAGAACATATGCATAACAGGGCTCACGTCATGATGCACATAGTTCCGTTTGGTAGAAATACGTCCATTTGATAAAATTACTTTTGTCTCCCAAAATTTGACAAAACTAGACAATTTGAACGAACCCTCCTTTACAAGTCTGGACTTCACAGAGAGTTTGATAAAATGGAGGATAATTTTTTTTGTCGAAGTAGATAGACTGGGCTGTAGGTGAAACAACAATGAGATTATTGCAGTATAATTTATAGGAGTTATAGCTGTTTTTATGCTAAATGAAATTTCGCGCGAATGAACTCAATCAAAAGGATCCACGAGAGTAGAATTCATGCATTTTGTGGTTCCATCTAATTTAATTCATTTCTCCAAGATTCCCCTTGCCGTAATTATACGTTTGATTTTTCCTCATTTGATAAAATTGTCTACCGCAAAAATTCCTTAAATCTATCCCTTTGGAGCTGTTTGTGATTAATATCAGTTAAAATTTGCTGGCGCTATTGCCAGCCTCAGAAATGAATCGATGTAAATGATTTTGATTATTCAAAACGATCATCACTATCACAAATATATATCACAAAGTATGACTTGAAATGTCAACTGCATGCGATAGTCAGGGAAAGTCCAGTATTGAAAACTGAAAATCTCTACTTTTGACCCTAAATCGGTTTTATGGAGTATTATGGAGTCGATTGAAATTTCCACTTTATCAGGACATTTTTCATAACTCTATCAAAATTCAAATTAAAAAGAAAAACCAATCTTCACTGAAAAAAAGTGCTTGGCTCAAGCATTATGATTCTTGAGTTTGCCGCCAGGAAATTTTTTATCTTTGATCCAAGCTGAATTTTTATTGATTCAAGAAAAAAATGCTCGGGTTAAGCAAAGAAGTAGTTTGTATTAAGCAGCAAAATTCTTGATTTAAGAAAAATTTATGCTAAATGAAACTTCGCGCGAATGAACTTAATCAAAAGGATCCATGAGAGTATAATTCTTGTATTTTGTGGTTCCATCTGATTTAATTTAAACTTCTTGGCGGCAATTTTAAGATTTTTTTTTTCCAGTATTCTCACAAACGCCAATTCAATTTAAATACAATTTTGAGAAATTTGAATGAGTAGGTACACTGGTGTTTTTAAAAATTAGATGCAATAAATGACGCAGTCATTAATCCGCTCGATGCAGATTTTGTCCTCTGTTTCATGGTGCCGGAACTACCGACCTGCTTTATATTCGATTCGCGAGGAGCCGTGGGTTAAGCTGTCTCGTTATACAAACCAGGCATGTTTGTCAGGTGATATCACAGGTCACAGGTCTCATCAGCCAAATATTTACTTGTCTCAATTTGTCGTGAATGATTTCCGAGGGCCATCTACTCGATTGTCAGGTAGGTTTGTTGCCCCGATGACCGTGGGATGGATTACGGTGAGAAAATATTAATAAATAACCCGTCTTGGCCACGGAGCTGAACTTTCAATATTAACTTTCAAGTTTTGTGCGGTAGAACTAACTACGTACAGTACTAAAATGGGAGGCTTCAACCCACTTTATGCGGCAACGAAGATCCAAGTAACCTAGGTTATAGTTATCTTAAATTATCAGAAGCTACCATAAAACGCCAGTGTTGTAGAAGGTTGTTTATTTGGCATTGATCAGTTTATCGAACTAGTTGATTTTTTGTCTTAATGAGTATAATGTATCATTTTTCAAAGCAGATTTCTATGTTTGAGAGCTAAAGAACCCAGAGCTGTTTCTAACTTTTGAGAAATCAGGTGAAAGCTATGCGCATTGCTCGAAGCTTATTTTGCAACTTAAAAACCTGTAATTTCAAACATGTAAATCTCGGTTTTTTTAAAATTATAGGTCAATACTTTTGACTCTTATCTACGGATGTACAAATGGCTAACACCGGTAAGTATACCTTCACCCAATGGAAATATGTACGAGTCACTGACAAAATGCAACAATTTTCTTTTATTACTGTTCATTATTACTTATTGACGACAAAGCCTCCAAGTTCGTATACTGAGGCAAGTAGGAGGTGGATTACAGTGTTGACGGTTATTATTCCGATATTAGCTTGCTACCGCGGTTAGTTTTACTGTCATTTTACTTTTTGCTGAACTGCCTTGCTAAGGAAGAACGCAGTATGAGCCTCCATCCGTTGCCAATTTCTCAATGAAAAATCACAAATTTTGGGGAGAATTTTAAGATATTTTTCCTCCGATTTTTCAGAAAATTTTGTTCGAGATTTGTCATCAAATATCCGAAAATTTTAAGGAAATATACTTACAAATTTCTTCAAATATTAGTATTTTCTGAGAGGAAATTTGGCAACATTTAAATTCTTGTGCGGGGTTATTCCTTAAAACGGAAGTAAATGACTGCATACTTTCCTGGTCACTCAATTTTGAGGACTAATCCTTGTATGTTTCAAATCATACCTACCTGAAGACCAATGCGTCGTTTTGATGGGGACAACAGTCAAGGATA